AAATCATATTCTGCGGTATTCTGTTCGGATGTTGTCGATCGTTTCGATCTATGCATGCAGGGATAATTTATATTATTCAATGAGCAGTTTTGGTACATTTGCTCTCAAGTATCTTATTGCTATGACGCGATTTGCTCATCAGAGCGATTCGACTGCATAGAAATTAAAGATATTAAACATTTCAATTTTATCAGTCACCTTTCATCTCTTCTTGACTAAGGCTGATTATGATATCATTAAAGAGCTTCTTACAGAAAGAATCAGGTATTGTTCCCGATAAATCCTTATGCTCGAGTGTCCAGCAAAAGCTAAAGTTCCAAATCCGAACTTTGTTTTGATGAAACAGTTTCAGTGATACAATGTCAATGACAGTAGTCAACTGTATTGAGCAAGATCAGAGATCAAAACTTTTTACGATGTTATTTACTCAGTACATCGGACTTTCGCAATAGGCTTCTGGATGCACTGTGTCAAAAACGTCAAACGGCGTTCCATGTTTACAATGCTTTAAACACGCACGTGTACACCTACGCACGCTCGCATTTCAGGCGTGATACTGGAGATTCATGAAACCTCTGCATCTTTATTGTCTCCTATGTTCCTGTTCTACTTTCTTTCTTACTAGTCATCGCAATGATATTTCGACTGATAAGGTAATCAAATACCCCACTTGTCCATTGATTTATAACTCATCTAACTCCACCATGATGGCTTAAATCACTTTCAATTAAGTTCCAATGACTGTACGACTGCCATTTTTTGATATTCGTTAGAGTCGGTACACCCATTTTTTTCAATTTCGACTATTAACCGAAGGGAACGGAATTTTCCTGAACTCTGTTCTACTCAAACAAAATATCCAAAAGCTCCACGTAATCATTCAAATCACCAATTTTTGTGAATAAGGATATTTGATAACATTCTCGATTGATAATATCCTCTCCAATTTGCATTGTTAGCGTTCTCCGGAATTTCATTCGCATTCTGGAATGAAACAGGTTCCAAGATCCTGGAGAATGATTTCGGCGACATATCAATTCTTTTATCCATTGATATTGGAATTCAATAATATGTATGTGCTAGTGTTGGGAACCGGAAGGTTTTTCTCGGTAATCCCCGACCGAGAGCCCTGTCGGTAATCCCCGTAGCTCGGTATTTACCGACTGCATAATTTTGAGCGTCGGTCGGTTGCGGTTCGGTTGTAACCGCGGGGCGATTCACCACGGTCACTGACCGAGCGAGCCTTGTCGGTTGCGGTCGGTAATCACCGACGGGTCGGTAATCCCCGCAACTCGGTATTCCCCGGCGGTCGGGGAATACCGCAAAATCAAAATGCACTCTATGAAACTCCGTCGGTGAACACGGACCCAACGCTAGTATGTGCTCTGTTGATCACTTCATTCTGATCATAAATATGCACTCTATGAATTCTATTGATCGGTCAATGGTGCTATGCCAACTGATCAACGTAGATCGTGTACTGTCACTGTTTTGTTCATAACATTCATATTATCATTCAGTGTCGTTCACTTCTGTCGTGTATTGTACGATGAATTGGTGCTGCGTGTGTGATGTAATTCATAATTTTATACCGTCCATGCCTTTTCTGGTATAATTCAGAATTGCGCTAGAGATATTTTCGATTCAAATATCCATCAAAATTTTCAACTTTATTAATATCATAGATTAGGGTAAGATATAATGAGGGGACCTTTCAATTCAATTTGAATGCTGAAATATGGTCATATTTACAGTGTAGGGGATATCTTATTAAATCATCACCATCGCTGTAACAGCATAGAACGTTGATAACGTGTGCGAATAATCTATCAATGAGAAATGTGTTACAAATAAGAATCGTACTGAACTGCATATGATGAAAACTGCGAATTGGCCATTTAATATTGTTTCAGACGTGCATATGAAGATGATCAGGCGGCCGAACTAGGGTAGCTTTAGCCGTGCTCTCAGTGATCATCAACCTGAATCGACGGTGAGGAATTGGATTATTTCTATGATGGTTTAATTTTCTAGTTGCTGGTTTGAAATGACTTTATTGTCAGTCAGTCTTGTTAACTTCTCTTGATCTAATATGAATTTATCATATATTTAGTGAGTGTGAATACTCTATGTTAGATGTGTTGATGTAGTCTATAAAACAGTTGTGTGATAACAGACGTAATATTGACAGAGATGCTGTTATTTTGGACTGAAAATGATACATGTTGTCAACATTACACCGTTATCCAATTCTAGCTGAAGTTACTAATGGTTCCAATCCTACGCTCACATTCGATGGATAACTGAATACGGCGATCGATGGTGGAGCTGGACGACGTTCGACGGTCAAAACAACTACAATCAAGTAACAATAATCAACGATACAACACACGATGGCGACACGATAACAATAGGCAATAGTATGACAAAACAATATCGCTCAATGTGATACGATAGCGCGAGGAAACGCAGGGTTAGGAGTTCTAAATTCCTTTTATTCCAAAAAATTCCAAATTACAAAAAAAAGTTAGGAGCTCCAGAAAGTATCTTTTATTTATTTCTCTTTCCTTTAAAACTCGAGTAAATAAAAGAACACCTCCCAGTTTTTGTTACTTATTTTCATTGATATTTGAACTTAGGGACAGAAAATAAAATTCAGTCGTGGTCAGTGACCACTTTTTCGCATGCTTTATTATTATATTCATTCGTTTTAAATTGTATCATATGTAAATTGTATTATATATACATACGTTTGTATGTGTTAAAGATACGTTTGTATATGTTATTAGTTACTTGTAAGTCGTATTTTATCATATCCAACCCATTGAGAATAGGTGAAAATACAGTGACACATATTATTGTGAATTTTACAGTGATATGAAACTTATTATTTTCTGCCGAAATGTGTAATGAAGCTCTGAAAATGCTTATGTTGCCTCATATCTTTTAACTGCGGTTTTTTTAAACGTTTTTCAATTCGGTTGTTAATGTTATTGCTTTGTGTTACTGTTATTATTGTTCAATGGTCACTGTATTGTCATATACTAAGAAGTTTAGGGGGCATTAAACTATCGTTATCAATCACTTTTCGAAGGTATCCACACATTTCTATTGTCCTTTAGGATAGGATCTGGACGGGTCTGTGATTTTCTATGAATGTTTCATTCAATCCCCTCAAACATGAGAAATAATTCTATATCAAAGGAAAGATGTTATGAATTCTGACTCAAATTATGGCTTACTGAATTGTGTTTTCCATTTATTCTTTTATATTGTAAATTAATTGATTGTTATAAATGTCATTATATTTATTGTCACCAGTTGTCATGAATGTTTTCATTGTTTATTTATTTATTTATTTATTTATTCATTTCGTACATTGTCAATATTGCAAATCTTTTGTGAGGGATGTTGGTAGGGCGAAGGAGGGATGCGGCACGTGATGACCCGCTTAACTCTGGAGCCAGAGGTAGGGACTTGGACTGGCCTTATGTATGACCCATCCCACCTAATTTAAATTATTTTTCAGTTCGTGCACCTAATCATTCCTCTCCACTCCCTCCCCACAATGTGGACTCTATTACACGGACCATGTTGGACTCTAACATAGATATGAGAGTAGCACATTTTCTGATAATAGTTCCAATTGACTTGACCTGGATTGACTTTAATTGTATTAAAAGCTTACTGAGCCAAAACCTTGAGACGTCTTGACTGGAATTTTACCACGAATTAGCCTGAGTTGACGTACCGCTTAGCGGATTTGTTATTGTTTGAGATTGACTGAGCTCGATTTGAATCTGACTTTGAGCTTTCTCAAATTCATTAAACTTGATTTGGACTTGAGTTAACCTGACCAGATCTTAGGCATGCCATTCAGGAAAGAGTTTAGTCATCTATGCACAACTCGGCGGCAGTTAACTAGTGAACTTATAGCTGAGGAACAAGCTCTCGGAACTGATCACTCCCTAGAGGTACAGTAATGCATAAGAGAATATTTGTTTAGTTTGTCGCGGCAGGAACTGTTGCAAGTACTGACAATAGTTACACTGGCATATGAAAAGAAGAAATATATCCCAATAAAAGTGAGTTTCATAAACGTAGGGTATGAATCGCCTCATGAAGTTAGCGGTA